ATTGATCGTATAACTAAGTAACTGACTGTACAACTAACTCAGTAACTAACTGTACATCTAACTAAGTAACTGGCTGTACAACTTACTCAACATGTGACAGTAAACCTAACTCAACAAGTGACGGTACATTTAACTGAGAGATTAACTGTATAATTAGCTCAGTAATTGACTCTAAAATATGTTCAACAACAAAATTACTATGTTCGTACAATTAATACAATAATTTTTAATTGAAGACAAATGTACAAAGGTAGCAGACATAATGAATTTTCTTTGCACATTTCAGTTCCAGCTGTATAGGAGTCATTTTCCATTAAGACGATAAACAAACAGTTTCGATGAATTGGTGTTCAAAAAGGTTTACTTGACGGATTGGACGACATACCTTCTCCACGACATATTTCAATGACTTTATCTTTAAAAAGATAGCTTACCAGGCACCTGTGATTTTGAATAAAAATATTTAGCAGTAGGCTACAGATACAATCACCAGTATGAAATATTCAACCTTCAGTCATACACTTCTTTTGAACTCTTTAGGGCGATACTAAATAATATTGAGTATGAGTTATTGCCCTTGTTCTTGAAAAGGGGTTCAATTTTTATCTCGTGAAAACTCTAGAAGGAAAACATGCAATCTTCAGCGCAGTACTGAATAATAAAACCAAGTTTTGTCAAAATTCGGCAAGAATCACGACTTGTATTGTTTAAGAGCTAAAATTTGAAAGCGTTTTCACGAACGAGGTCAATAACTCCTATGAAACATATTTCGATTTTTTTGATTTTCGATAGGGTTCATCCATGAGTGATAATAAACAATTTCACTAAGTTTCGTCAAGAATTGAGCCTTCTAGAATGTTCACAAGCTCATTTTTTTCACGTTCTCAATAACATGAGCATTAATTCTTTCTAAATATTTGATTTTTCTGATTTTCGATACGGTTGATAATAAACACTAACACCAAGTTTCGTCAAAATTCGTCAGGAATTGGGCCTTCTAGCGTACTTACGAGCTAAAAATTGAAAGCGTTTTCAAGAACAAGGGCAAAAACTCATACTAAATATTTTTCGATTCTTCTGATTTTTAAGAGGGTTTATCCTTGGGCGATTACCCACATTCACACCAAGTTTCATCAAAATCCGTGAAGAATTGTGCCTTCTAGAGCTAAATATTGAATGCGTTTTCAAGAACAAGGGCAATAATTCATATAAAATATTTTTCGATTTTATTGATTTTTATTAAGGTTCATCCTTTGGTGATAATAAACAATTTCAGCAAGTTTCGCCAAAATCCGTTGTGACTTGTAGAGTATTTACGAGCTAAAAACCAAACGCGTTTTGAAGAACACGGGCAATAATTCATATCAAATACTTTTCGATTTTATCGATTTTCGATAGGGTTCATCAACAATTCAGCAAGTGTTCCAAAATCCGTAAAGAATTGTGACTTGTAAAGTGTTTACGAGCTAAAAATCGAACGCGTTTAATGGACAAGGGCAATAACTCATATTAAATATATTTGAATTTTATCGATTTTCAATAGAGTTCATCCTTGGGTGATAATAAACGATTTCAGCAAGAATTGTGACTTGTAGAGTGTTTACGAGCAATTGTGGACGGACCGACGGACATGGGTGACGGCAATATACGCTCCACATTCCATGTGGGCGTATGAAAATTAAACCTGGAAACGTCTTGTACTACAGGTTAATATTTCTTCCGTTTGGGCAAAATGTAAAATTTGTGTAGCGAGTAACTCGTAGACAAGATTGTTCTAGTATCGTCTGAAATTTCTATGGGACAGGAAAAGGCGCAGGATATTACTCTCTAGTCTGTATTTATTTGTTCTCTAAACAACTGGTAAGTGAAGGATTGATTTTTCTTCTTAAAATATCAATTTTATAATGGATTCTTGTATTAATATTAATTAAACTTCTATTAATTACAACATTTTAGCTTTACTTTACTTGTTTTCAATACATGTTATATGGAAAGCGGAATGGCTTTTTATTCGATGTTCTTCATGACTATTTCTTAATGGGACAGTGGGCCATTTTATGACCTCTCATACCCTATTCTCAGAAACGTGATTTTGTTAGCTAAGCCGAGCAGTATCAGAAAAAGTACTGCAACGACCATCAATAACGTCTAAACGCATGCAATTTCAAGTAAAGACGTTAGTGAGCAAGTATTCAAAATTTCATTCAAAAATGTCATGAGAAATATCTGCATTTGAATATCAGTGTGTCAATTTCCTACTCGGCATAAAAAGAGCTGTTAATCTGGCCAGTACTGTATCTAGTGAAATACGTCAGCTATGATAGTATTATAAAACTCCATTAAATAATAGGATTAAAAAATTACATTCAAAACAAAACGTTTCATTGTGGTTTTAAGACCGTGCTTCATATATTCCTGTTGGTGTGAGATCCACTT